ACGAATATATTTACATCAGAGTTGAAATAATGATACTCCCTTCCTATTCTTACCTCCTGATCCACTTTAACTCTTTATTGTTCCCTCTATTTTAAAATTGTCCACTGGTCTCCTGATGGTTCTTGAATAGATTTTGAAGATGGAAGCCAGAGTATGAATGTCGATAACATTACTGAAAGCCTGAATAATCTTTTTTTTTGTCTCAACATTGCACATTTGGGAATACATCGTGGGGCTGACAATATAATTTTAAACTGTTGTTTTTCTTGCTGAATAACTCAGAGGTCTTTTCAGTGATTTTTACGACAAATGGCGTAAAGATGGTAAAACGTCGTATCTGAAAAACAGTGAAAGAGAAACTCAATTAGTTTTGTGCTTTTTAGATATTAATTATTTTCTGGGATGGAAAATTATTTCACGCACTTACACGATTTGGACAATTTTACTGCTACAGGTTGTATACTATTTGCTACGGTTATATCGACTGATAATATATATTTCTTGGTCATCTATTTCTCTCAGGGATATCTCGCAAAATAGCCCAGTGAGAAACCTCAGTTTTAGGCCTCTTACAATTTATGTGTACAAGGTCAACAGGCTTTCTATCCTCATGCAAGTGGTTTGTTTCAGAAAACTATTGCGGATTATTTCAATATCTTTCCTATATTTTTCCTAAAAATGGATTCAGTGTGTACCATATTAAATGCTTAAACATAATCTATGACGTATAAATATACGCCCTTCTATATGTATTTTTGCTGTTCTGATCATAAACTTACGATGATTTAAACTTCTGAAATAATTGGAAGATATTTTCATTATTTCATATGGAATGGAACTCATCACAGAGAAAATCAAATAATGGCGAATAGCATAATCATCACTAGTACAAATGTCACCAAGGACGGTGAACTATTGCAGAAGTGTCCAGCTTCAAATACTTGGAAGCAGTTCTATCAGAATATGGCACCTGCAATCCAGAAATTCGCACATTGATCACCACAGCCTGGAAAGGACAGGGAAGAGTGACATCAGCTTCCACACCACGTTCATGCTCTACAAAGCGCTTGTCTTATCCATTTTCTACAGGTGTGAGATATGGACAGCACTGGTTGAGACAGGAAAATTATCCAGACGTTCGGGAAAAATGCTTGAGAAAGCTCCTCCGCATCTCCTGTTGGAAGCACAAAACCAATGACTGTGTACGGAACAAGGTGGAAGTCTCCTCCCTATTATTAATCCTCTGAAGATGGCGTGGTTTGGTCACGTCTCACGGAATAAGAACCACTGTAAGACCATCATGCAGGACACTGTTGAAAGCGGACCCAAGCGGGGACGACAAAGCAAGAACTGATCATAAAACATCAAAGAGGGGATGGATATGACAATGCTAGAACTCTTGAGAGCAACCGCCTACAGATCATCCTGGAGACGATTGGCTGTTTCTTCTGACCTTAGGTCCCTCCGACAACTGAAGCTGTCAAAAGAACGGTCATAAGGGTGATGATAAACTTTCTTTTAATTTCTATTTACTAATTAAGAGAGAGAAAGAGAGAGTAAGTGTGTGTGAGAGAGGCAGAGGGTGGGAGAAAAATCATTTGTGAAAAAGGGATATTCATCTCTATGTGTGTCTGTCAGTCTACAAGTAGATGTAAAGATATAGGAATATGACACATCGCTTGTATCCACTGTGCCATGTGTCCTCAAGAACAGATGGCTCAGTGGATAAAGGCGTTCGTTAGATCCAATAACAGGACCCAAGGTGTTTGAGTTCAATACCTGGTTGGATAACTTGGAGAGGGTAATTAACAGGAGATAACTGATAACTGACGTCCATTAGACATGACACGTGGAACTAGAACAGTCTACCCGAGTGATTGAAATAAAGCGTTCGGTTTGACATTCCAACCATCTAAAGAAGGCCGGAGCGTACAAAGGCCGAAACGTTGTAATAAATATGGCGACAAAGATGAGGACAATAGTCGGAAAAATGTAATTTGTATACATTTTTATGCATTTGCCGCTTCTAAAAGTAATTTATATTTTATTAGAAATTATATAAAAAAACAAAGAGAAATTAGATTTCTTTAGATATGATTTATCAAAAATATAATACTTTCATTTTCAAAGACTTCAATGGAGCAGAAAGTTAAATATTCTATTATATGTTAAAATGATATTTTCTCGAAAGAAATGTTTGAAAGTATGTTTACACCATATTTGTTTCTGAATTCATCTCGCATACGATATGTTTTAGTGACTGAAATAAATTCGAATCTTGAGTAGTTGCATCTGGGAAATATAATGAACGTAGAAGTAGCACCCATTATAACCCTCTTATAATTTCTTGGTTTAGTTTTACAGATTGTAGATTTGCATTGTCAGGCTGAAGAATAAATCCATTCTCTCTTTACCAAAACAGGACACTTTCGGTGGAATGGTTCATGTTTCTTGCAACATCTTCAGTGGTGGTCTTTTCATATTACACTAGCTCGTAATTGAAGACACATATCAAAGTTTCTTCGGACTTACTCATGCTTTTAGCGTTTGCACATTTTTTTGTTTTTCATTTTGTTATAAACATCGTCTTTATCTGTCTTTTTTTTTGTTTTCTTTTGGTCAATCAAAATCATTTTTAATCACCTCTAACAATTCAATGGATATTTGGAATTCCTGTTTGGTTTATATTCTAAAGATTAAAACCCAAATACGCTTTCTGCAAATTTTCACATATTTAGAAGACATGATGAATTATTTCGAAACATATTTTACTAAAAGAATCTGCAAGGTTATTCGTCCAGATCTGGCGTATTGGATTTAATGATTTTCCAACCGCCATAACGTAGTTTCCTTGTGGCATTTGTTATAAATATTTGTAGTAATTGTTCTTCCTTGAATTACTCTTTGGTATCTCGCCGTCCCGAATTTAAGCGTGGTACTAGATTGGATTAAACCTCACCATTTTACTGTTGAAATTGCAGATAGTTTTTCCTCTCGGACTTCTCGCTTGTGGTGTTTTCTTTCTGTGTTTTGCTTTTCAGTAAACTATGTTTAAATTTAATGCAACCACAAGCATCAACGACTGTCTTTTTTATTCCTGTTTTCTTTTCTTTTCCTTCTGCTTGATAAGGTTACTTCTCGGTAAGCCATTTCGTATTAGTGGCTTTATCACCTTGCTTTGTATGGGATGATTAATATGCTCTTTCACATATGCATTACGATAGATACCATTTACTATGCTAGTAAACATGCTACATCCACGCAGATCGATACGAACCGCTGTTGGAGATAATCATCATCTCGGGTGGATGATGGGTTGACGTCTGTGAGGTAAACGGTTGCCTCTGGGCTGAAAATAATCAAGACGGTAAGTATAAAAGGAAAGAAAAATAAACTGATCCAATATCGTTGTGTTGAGCCGGCGTCACGAGTCCGCTGTGCAGATTTTCAATTTCGTGTCAACTCCAAGATTTCCCGGAATGGATTCCTATTGAAGTGCTCACCCTTTGGTGTTCGATCAACTGAATTATGCAGGTCGTTTATCAAGATTTCCAATCGCAAGAGAATCAGATCGATATCGATCAATAACGCTGGCAGCAATCAACTTCTTTTTTTTTTTTCTTTTTGTTTTTTTTACCCAAGTAAATGCATTTTGGAATTGCAGGCGACCGGACAAAGTGCTGAGCGCTATGTGAAAGTGTGTCATGCAAGAATTCTAAAAACAACTGAAAAAACCGTGTAGCTCATCAAATAATTTACAGTATAAACAAAAGAGAAAATATTATATGCTTGGTTGTGCTGTGTTCCAGGCTGAATTGATTTGGCCTTATATAGATCGATTGGCAGGGCTATGTGAGATCGATTGATGAGCTATCGATTTTGATGTTTGCTTTTGGTTTTGTTTATTGATATTATCGCTTATCTTAAAAATTTCAACCCTTAACTATGCTCGACAAATATAATCTAACACGGATTCTGGTTTTATATGTTTACTAAAGATAAATTATAGGAAAATCTGCTAGAAAGCAAAGACGATATTATCATTCTACCAAGAGACATGAAATGCGACTTCAAATTATAATTTAGAAAATGGCGGAAATTGAATGGCTTTCTTAAAATTCATAATTTAATTGCAAAAGGATTATAATGAATAGATCGCAATGCAATAATTAATTATGAGAATGATTAGAAAATATGATAGAAAGAAAAGGGCTAAAAATTGATGAATATATGACAAAGACATATAAAAAAAGAAACAGAAGTAGAAGTTGTGATTTAAGATAAAAGAATTAAAAGTAATGTAAAAAGACAAGAAAATATAACAGAAAAAGATAGAAAAAAAGATGAAATATACTGAAAATAAAAATAGAATTTGAAGAAAAATTAGAAACGAAAAATATAAGAAAAAGAAAAGAAAGAAGACATATTAGTAAAGGAAACAATATAAAAATGAAAATGAAACAGTAAAGAAAATATACGTAAAGAAAAAATAAAACGTAAAAGGAAGCAATCTTAGAAAATTCCGAGAAATGGGAGCTAATTATTATTTTGTCAGTGGCGTAAAATTGGAACGTTTTAATAATTTCAAAACAATTCATACATTAATAATTATAATGAATAGACTGAAACAAAGATTAAACAGGAACAAAATACAGGGAAATAATCCGAAATACAAGGCCTAAGTGAAATAAAAGGATTGTAAGAGAAATCATGTGCGTATAATGGATAACGGCTCGGAATGGAAAATCAGTAAACCGAGTTCAAATTCCAGTTGGGTTCAATACATTCAGTTACCGTCAAATATCCCTGGGAAAAAATCTGAATCCATCTCTTATCTATGGATTGAATAGCAGGACAAAAGTTTTGCAAACAGTCTACCGCCGAAGCAACCTACTGTGGATCTTCTATTTACTGAATGAAAGAGAATATCGCTTACGTAATTTAACTGAAAGAAGAAAAGTAATAAATATAAAAAAACTAAATAGAATAATAAAAGGCAATTAAGGAAAAGGAAAAAAATAATATAGGAAAAGGAAAGAGAAAAATACAAGAAAGGATGAAATATAAAGAAAAAGGATATGAATGATACGAGAAAAAACATGATGAAGAAAAAAGGAAAGAACATATGAAAAAATAAATACCAGGAAAGAAAAATATAAGAAAAAGAAAGAAAGGGAAAAATGAAGAAGTAGAGAACATACAAAGAAAATAAAAAAAAAAAATAGAAAAATTAAGAAGGGAAACAATTCCAAAAATAATGAGAGGAAAGAAAACGTGGAAGTGAATGAAAAGGAAGAAAAACAAAAAAAAAATGTAAGTACAAGAAAAAAGACAATATATAAAAAGAAAAAAGGAAAGGAATATGAGGGTATATTAGTGAAAAACTAAAAAGAAGAAATATAACAAAATAAGAATATTAGGTTAAAATAAAAGGTAAACGAGTATAAGAAAAAAAACGACAAACCATTACTGATCCCTTTAGTCCAAACAGAATGCATCCTTATTTTAGTTTTGTCTTATTATAGTTTTGGGATAAAAGGACATTAATTATTGCACAGGTATGCATTAAATAACTGAACGCAAATCGAATAAACGTCTGCACGTATTTATTTCATCAGCAAGATATTTTGCACTTTATGGAATCTGTTTCATTATACGTCAGGATATTTACTGTGTACGTACATTGATCCAGATTTAATGACATGCATCTAATAAATAGGAAAAGCGCGTTTGTTCTTATTCAGCTAAGTAATTTCATGGAACTTAAAATTAAATCTTATGAAATGGACGCATCCTAAGAAAATGTATCTCTGCATATTTTTCCGTGCTATGTTCATTCAGCATGTAAGCATTTATGACTCTGCACAGATTACAGATTACTGTTCGTTTTTTTATCTTTCAAATCTAATGAATTCCTGAGAATGACAGTTGATTTTCTCCAAGGATTTCAATTCAATGTCCTCTCTTTCTTCTGTTATCTATAGTGCAGACTCTACGCTGCAATTTAAACAACAGCAGAGACTGCGACTGGAAAGAGATGGATTAGCGTCTTTCACGAGAATAATTGTGCGAAAGTGAACGCAAATATCGACTAGAATTTTGAACTCAGTTCGTCGATTACACTTTTGTCGGCGATAACTTACACTGCCAGCCCATTCATATTAATAAGACACGTTTTTAAACTGTGTAAATGATGTTTTACATAGCGACACTGTGAAGATATTTTATTCTGCTCCTAAAAATATACTTTTTAAAAGCACATTTGATATGAAACATAGTTCTTAAAAAAGATCTCAAGAATATTTTAATATAAAACTACGAATAAATCGTGTGCAAAACATGAATCGGAACGTTTTAAATGTTCATCACTTATGTAATTTGCTATTCTGTCGAGAAAGACACCAACACCAGTCGGTGTTATAGAAACACCGGCACACTGTATCATTATTTATTATACTTTTATAAGAAATGTAGTATGCAACTCACCAACGCCAAAATAGAATTGCAATGCAAGGTCCTTTTAAGAATTCAGGTGCATCGAATGTTTGGCATGAGAGATGACCGAGTTTCACGTGATAGCAAACGCTGTTTCCACCTTTGACGGTTTTGACTCAGCTCCATGTCGGGAAGTCTGTATGAACATTACATATTTCAATACCCACCTTAGAGGGAAGAGACTATCATATGACCTTGCAAAAGTAATTCGGTTAGAAACAAAAATCAACACTGAACTGCAATGTAGTATAATCCTCCTGTATGGATGTGAATTCTAGATAATCGGAAAAGAGATCTGAAGCAAAAGTAATGGGTTTCTACCAAAATATGCTGAGAGTACCACGGACTGAACATGAGAAATTTTAAAGAAAATGGAATCAAAATGGACACTTATACTTAGAATCAAAAAGAGATAGTTGAGGCATCTGGGCTAAATGGCGGACAACCTGACGAATTCGGCAATTACAGCAAACATTGAATGCAAGAAAGAAAAAAAAGGACACGGTGAATAACCTATGTTTTGTAAATCTATGTCAGAAGAGGGATCGGGAGTTATAGTGAAAAACAAATTAAAAGAGCTGCGATGGACAATGTATTCACCTCCGTCCTGAATGGATACGTCACATACAAATAACAGACATCGGGAAAAAGCGCCAAGACCACACAATGGACAGCTGTGATTGATAAATTCACAATTTTAATGATCAGAAATATACCATATGAGAGATTCTGTAGTGAATTTCCATTACCAATATACGACAATGCCATTACAGTCTGTGGAACTTTTGTTCTTATTATTTATTCACCAAAAAGGTACAAATGTGCCACGAGGGCTAAAAAGGGGGTTGGGGAAAAGACTGGTCTTCTCTAGTCCTATCTCAAACTAACTAGTCTCATTCTTTGACCCATTCGTACTTACAATAATCCTTTCACCATAACAATGCTTTTACTCCTTGCTGTCACACCACAATCACCAAAATACCACATTTTCTCTAAGAAAAGCCCTAACATGAAAATTTTATTTACACAATTATCGAGGATGGGTGACAAAATCACAAACCCAATGATTATATACAATGAAAAATGTGTTTACAATAGAAACTAAACAAAATAATATTAGTAGTAGGACCCTACCCAAAATGTGGCAGAAATCTCAATTAACTGGTTTGAAAGAAATTCAGAAAAAAGAGACATCTGTCACCTAAAAGTCAAAAACATGGAGACAAGTAACTCAAATGGGGACAAAAAGCGGGACTTATGTACTTGCATGCTCTAGCTATGTTGAAAGGAAAATATTTAGCCCTGAGGAGGCCAAACATTTGTTCTTCTTCAATCTGCGTCTCGTGTAAAGGATAGCGTCTCCCGATTAAAAATCGGATTGTCAAGTTTGAAATCCATTCGCGTTCGTTACATTTACATACACACAAAACCTGTGGATGAACTCATCTATTACAAATGACCCATCACCTCTAAACCCACCAACTATGATATAAATAGCAGTGGGAACTGATCTCTCGGTCAGTGGTTGGCAATCAGCTGAAAGTGAAGATCAGAACTGATAGAAAGCGTTTGATATCGGCAGATTTCAGCGAAAGGTGGGTAAAAGTAGCGAGCTTGATTTGTGTGAAAGGGCTTAAAATTGAGTCGTCACAACGGGCGGTTTACTGTGATTCCTCCTCCTGGTTAAGCTAGACACTCTTTTTTTGCCTAGGTAATGTGAATAAGTTTTGTTTCTGGCCTGTTCCCGGCACTCACTTTTGTTATCATCCAGGACAAGATTTCCAAGCTCCCGAGTTTGTTTTTGGTCCCCGTTTGCATCTGGATCAGAATTTATTTTTCCCATTCCGTCATTGTTTTTACCCTCCCCAATCTATTAGTGAGTGTTCTCTGTATCGGCAGAATACTGCAGCCACATTATTTTGAGGGGTGGACAGGTCTTACTAACATCTGTTTTGTTTCAGTTCGTTTTTGTTCCATTTTTAGTTTTCCCATCTCATTTAATGCTTCATGAAATTTTATATAATTTCATATTTAGAAATTTGAAATTTTTATATCATGGGTTGTTTTTGAAGGTTCTCTCAGTGAGTATGTGGTATTGTGGTCTATGTAGGATTGAATGGTGAGGAATGAGTTCTTGCGGTAAATGGAGCAATTTTATTGGAGGAATGGATCATGATCGTGATTAACTCGGAATAGGAAAGTTAAGGAAGACCAGCCTCTCCCTACTTCCACTTTTGGCCATGTACCACAATTGTTGTATATTATATATAGTAATAAATATAATGTTTGGCAATCAGTCTAACGGAAATGCACCTCTTTGCAAAACACCCGGAAGTAATCTCTGCAAGATTTACGGCGAAGTCATCTGCAATCGAAATCAGTTGATGACACAGTCAAACAGAACCAGCAAGAAGCGTACGGATGTTATGTGCTGTCCCGCCGGAAGACCTAATTTGTTAGTGTTCGTTTACAAATGTTAACAAAAAAATGAAGGAATGTCTCGGTGAAAAAAAATACTTAATCTCAGAATTTAATTAATGTGGGAACATTAGCAGTTAGGGAAAATAGATTAAAGATAAGGAATTAAGATGGGATAATTCTTAATCCGTCTCATTTAAATGTCGTTGAGCATTCCTTAAAGAAAGTAGTGTTAAAAGAATAAAGAGAGCGATATATTGTAAATTATACCAGTTAAAACTTTGAAAAAATTAAACTTAAAAATACACCCTCTCAGAATTCCAATAAATTAAACATGTAATCATCCTTTGAAAACTTGAAATATAATTAAAATTAGCAATTCAATCATTTATAAATCTAGTTTTTTTAGTATATGATTATCAGTTATACCAATTGATAAGTTATAAAATTTTCTAGTCTGAAAATATTTTGATCAGATGTTGCTTCTTCAATAAAACGAATATTGACAAACACTGTTTACATCATGAGATTACATTCATGATTTGCCCATCCTATAGTCATCTGTTACTGAATAGAGCCTAGAATTTAATTTCAAGCGAATCTGGGCGTAGTTCTTATCATAGAAGAGTAGTTAGGAAAAACAAAGTTAAAAAAATAAAAAACGTAAAAACGAGAGATAAAAAGAAAATATGAGATGAAAAGAAAATATGACAAAAAATAATAAAAATAATAAATACAACGAAGAGAAAAAAGAAAGTATGAACAGTATAGAGACAAAAATAAAAATGTGAGAATAAGAAGAAAAAAGAAGAAATATAAGGAAAAAAGATGTGAGAAAAGAAACTAGGAGAATGAATAAAAACGAATAAATATGATGCAAATAAAGACGAAAGAACAGGAAGTAAAAGCAAGAAAAAGAAGTATAAGAAAATGTTTGTAAAAGAGAAAAAATTCCAATTTGTTCTGCGCTCAAACATTGTCAGGATCTTCTGCTGGTGCCTTGTTCAAGTTATTCTTTAAATTCTTCGAAAAATCAGATGGAAATATTGCGTCAGTAGCAAAAACAATATGAACGATTTAAAAATGTAGCTGAATTTATTTTGGTTTGGTTTGTTTTGGTTTGTTTTACGGGCATATCAACATATTTAATGCCGACAATATTTTCCTGGTAATATTTTGTGTGAAAAATCTATTTATGGTAATATTTTTTCTCCTTAAAAATTTATACCTAGTAATATTATTTTAAAAACATATTGCTGGTAATATTTTTTTTAAAAACGTATTGCTGGTAATAGTTTTCTTTCCTTCAAAAGTTTTATTTCTGGTAATAATTTTTACAAAGTATTTCTGGTATTAAAACCTATTTTTATACCATAATATGCTTTTTACCTCAGTTTCAGGGTTAACTCTTTTCCCATAGCTGGGATCCTAAAAGTTGCTACCACCCAGGGTCAGCATTAACCTGGGAACACCAGCAAGAGGTAGTTCCACGCACCTCAAAACCTCCTGATCAGAGGCCTTGCTGTAGGACGTCGTTTATTGTCTTACCCAGGACGCGGATGTAGTTTATCGTCATACCCAGGACGGCTGAATGTAATCTGCAATTAGGAAGAATGGGAAATACATGAACATCTTGAGAACAATCACTGTTTATACTGTAGATACACAAAAAATCATGAGAAGAATAACATAGAATCATGAAGAAATAACAGAATCCTTCGATAAAATTACATTTCACTATGTAGAAAATGTAATTAAAATGAGTTCTATACCTGGTGTGGCCATGACATTTCTTTTTCCAAGTCAAGTAATTTCATTGAACAAATGTCGATAAATACTAAATAGATATCAACATGACCTGCAAGGCAGTCGTTGATCCAAAAGGTTTCAGATCGGCTTTGAAATCTATTTAAACGTTGATATGAAAGACGATTTTTTCTGTCGGAGACACTGAGTCAGTGAAACATTTGAATGTCAATATTGAATTAAGACGTCTATTCCCTTCTTTCGACAAGTCTGGATGTTTCTACCCAAACATTTATCGCTATAATGAAATCATATATGCTGGGAATCTAGCTGCTTATTTCAGGACTAAGCACTTAAACCCTCATTTATAAAGATACATAGTTGAATCAACCGATAGGTACGTGTGGACATATGTGCAATGAATGTGCCAAGGTACTGTATAGACGAAACTGTATAAAATATCATTATTGTATTGCAAGTATATATCTAGTGTTTCCCAACGTTATACAACTGTTCACCTTTAAGAAAACAAAAGATGTAGATGTATTAAAAGCAACATCATTCTGAAGATTGTCTTTGATACAAATCAACAGTTACCGAAGGACGATGTCAAATGGCTGCCTACACGTTATAATTGCTATTATGGAAAAATTCCATTGGTCTTTTCTTATTGTTTGTTCTTCTTCAATGTGTCATATCCTTTCAGCAAGTGGATGATCATGGGTCCCCACAACTTCCTATTATTTATAACTCTGTGTAAGTGTTGTACAGTGCTGTTCGATAAAATTGACTCACCTGATTTTTTTACTTAAAGATTTTTTCGCCTATTGTTTTTGGGGTCAAACTAATTTTTAATCTTACTAATATAAAGACCCCTTCCCAACCACCCAGTAAAAAAGTTTACTCACCCTAAGGTATTCTATTGATAATTATAATTTTGAATATAAATGAGATTTAGGGAAAAACTCTGTGCAAGAAAAGTGACTCACTTATATCCTGCAACTATTAATCAATAGAAACATAACCGAACAGCTTTAAATAAAGAATAATAAAGGTATAATTTATTTATAATAGGTAACATGGTTCCAAATATTTAATAATCTATGGGTCCTTCTTTATTTTCAATAACCTTTTCAACCCTTTTTGGCATTGACTTGATTAGGTTCTGGCAAATGTCATCTCCAAGCATTGAATTCCATTTGGATATGAAATTCACAATCAAATCCTCTTTGTTGCTCAACTGCTTTCTCCAGAGCCTGCACTTTATAATGCCCCATAAGTTTTCTATGGGGTTGAGGTCAGGAGATTGGGGCGGCCATGTCATAACACTCACCTGCTTCTCATCAAAGTATTCTTTCATCAATTATGATTTGTGTCAGGGAGCATTATCCTGCATAATAATGAGCTTGGTTGGGTCGATTTGCACCCTTTCAGCAGAAGAGAGTAGATAAGACTTTAAAATTCTCTTGTACTGCTCGCTGCTGAGGATCTTTTCAATAGTTTTTAAGAAACCAGTTCAATAAAAAAAATAGCATCCCCAGAACATTATACTGAACAGATGCTTGACAGTACTTACTGCTAAATTCAAAGAGCTTTCTAAGCTTCTTCTTCGGATTTTAGATTGCTTATCCTTTGAATTTAGCTCAAATTTCGTTTAATCGGAGAAGAGAACATTTAATAAAAGAAAAAAAAATCAGGTGAGTCACTTTTATCGAATAGCACTGTATTATTTTATCTCTCCTAACCGCTGTTCTGCAAACCAACCACACAAACTATGTGAGTTCCTGTTTCTCTCTTCCCCTCATTATGGTTTGTGATTGTGAAAATTATCGAAAAAACTAGTTCTTCATTACCTACCACAGAAATGAGAAGTATAAGTCTCCTTTTGTTTCTATGTTCTTTAAAATGTTGTCGTTTCTCTCATTTTCTGTGTATGATATTCTTAAAATCCTTCTGTAGAAAAATATTTTCGTTGCACCAAGTTCTCTTTTTCATCCGTGAAAAAAATTATCCATCATTTACTGCCATATCGGAGGACTATTATTTTAAAAATGTTCAGTACTTTTTTCCTATTTCTTTGCATATTTCGTGCGTCCAGTGAGCCTTCAGGTTTAGGTTTTCCGTCATCTGTTAAAACACTTTCTACATATTGATAAATCGCTGTGTGTACATGAATGGAACCCGTGCAGAGTGACGACTTATCTGGCTTTATCTATGATATTCAAGTGTATGATATTCTCAGCATCCTTCTGTAGAACAGTATTTTCCCTGCACCAAGTTCTCTTTTTTTTATCCATGAAAAGAATATCCATTCTTTACTGCAATATCGAAGGACTATTAGTTTAAAAATGCTCAGTGCTTTTTTTCCTATTTTTTGCTTAGCTTTTGGAAGGCATATTTCCCTAGTCAAATGAGCCTTCATGTTTAGGTTTTCCGTCCTCTGTTAAAACACTTTTTAAATATTTAAATGTTTGTATTTACTTTTTAGTTCGTATCTTCTGATTTTCCTCTTACTGGTAACAATTCATATGTCTTTTCACAATTAATGTTTAGTATATTTTCCCCTCTTTCCTTTACAACCTTCTAGTTAGACCTTGTACTATAAAGAATTAAAGTCATATGGAATACTATGTCACACGTAATGATCGTGAATCGGCCACTTCTGTGCCAAGTGTATTATTTGGAAGAGAAAAATGTCCGTCTAAAATATATATAACCGAGGACTCAATCCATTAATAATCACCGTGTCCACTGTTAGGATGTTGCATTGACCCTGACGGCCTGAGGGAAGAAGGGTATGATATGACAAGGCCGTCGTTGCTCATGCATTCGGGTGTATTAGAAATGGAATGAGTTTGATGAATCGCTGTGAGTATATATGTGAAACACGTGCAGAGTGACCTCATATCTCTCTGGCTTCTTTCGAAATTCGGTATCAATGGTGATCGATTCTACCAGCATAACATGCCTCTTAGTAAAAATGTAAACATAACTGACAAAATAATTTTGTGTTCAATCCGAAGTTTTGTTAGTGTGCATTCGGATTCACTGTAAACGGAAGGAGAAGTAACTGATTTGTACTAAATAAGAATTAGACGAGATTTCCGTAGGCATGTTTATGGCAACGAGAATAATCTTTCCCCATAGGTTAAATAAAGTGTTTAGTTCGGAATTCTCTGTAGATTGGCCGGATGCATATAAACCTGGCGAAGGCCGGAGGGCACAAAGGCCAAAACGCTATGATAACAACAGCAACGATGAGGGTAATAATCGCAGAAATATAGTCTAAATTGCAGGAAATCAAGCAGACACTGAAATAAAGTAATTTTAAAATAAATTACATGGTTCGATATTGCTAATTGAGAGTGAGATCATTTGTCAATTACACACGCATATAGAGGCACACACGCACGCACAGGTATATATATATATATATATATATATATATATATATATTTATATATATATATTTATATACTTTTGCTACTTGTCAGACTTAACTGCACTCACTAGGCTTGCTTCTCTTTCTTTCTGTCTATCTCTCGATATATATATATATATATATATATATATATATATATATATATATATATAAGAGAACATTGAAGACAACTCTCAGAGGCGACAGACTGTTTCATGCTTGACGCAATCGTTGGGCGGGCTGACGATTGCGGCTAGCATGAAAACAGATTGTCGCCTCTCAGTATTGATTTCACAGTTCCCTTTTATATTTAGATTTTCATGCTCTCTATCTCTGATACTGATGACTTTATTCCGTAAATATAGCGCACCTTATATATATATATATATATATATATATATATATATATATATATATATGTGTGTGTGTATATATATATATATATATATATATACATATATATTTATTTATGTATGTATATATATATATATATATATATATATATATATATATATATATATATATAGACACGATCTATCTCTGAGATTGAGCACTCTATCCTATAAATATACCACACCTTAAGAGTATATTTCTTCACACACACACATACACACACATATACACACACACAATATATATATATATATATATATATATATATATATATATATATTTATTAATATTAACACACACGAACACACACACATATATATATATATGTGTGTGTTTGTGTGTTCGTGTGTGTTAATCGTAATAATATTTTTACCCATTTCGTTATAATTGAGCTGACAGTTCTCGTATCGGTTGAAA